TATTATTATAGTCCTGCTCCTCAATTCTCGTTCAGCTCAGCAGCCTCTGTCTGCGTCTCAGACAGAACTGCAACAAAACAAATCAGGTGACTCATTTCTCCCATCTTCTTAAGCACTTCAGTGAAAATACAAATACCAATGGTCTGAGGTCATTTGCTTATTTGGGGAGATTCCTGAAATTTACATCACCGAGTACTATTGTTTAAAATGTGTTTATTTTAATTCTTGACAAGTTTTTTTTAATAAATTACCTGTGCCCTTTGCTTTTCTCTCAGTTTCACTTCACGGTCGATGAGTTTCTGACGTCTGCTCGTCTCCTCCTGTAACCTTTTCTCCAGTTCCTCTCGTCTTCTCCTCTCCTCTTCCAGGGCCTGCTTTCTCAGTTCCATTTCCCGCTCCTGAATAACAACACACACAAAAAATAAATAAATMATACACAATAAACACACACAGACAGACACGTACACACAAACTTTGAAGAAACTAAAGGATTTCTTGGTTGTGCTCGAGTCAAAGGCCAAGAAAGGAAATGTTTTACAACAAAAGATACTCAACAAACAGACGAGAACTCAATGTTCTGAGTGAAACTAAAAAGACGCAATTCTTGTCATTTTGTACCTTGTGTTCCAGCAGGCGGTTCTTCTCGACCTGTGCTTCCCTCAGCAGACGCTCCATCTCCTCCAGCCGGGCCATGTTTGACGTGCTGGCGCTGCAGCACACAAACACAATCACGAGTGAGTCGATGTGAAATCAACATAACATGTAACCTATCCCAGGGCGACTGAAATAAACTAAACTCAACTTTCTACACTGGCAAAGAGCCATTTTCTACTTCTTATATTGTTGATGAATTCTCTGACAATACWCGAAAAAAAATCTTTCACAACTGGAACTATAAATGTTGAATGACTTTGCTGAAATTTGCTGAAAAGATGACAATGAATTGTTAAAACACAAAAAAGCCAAACAAGAAAAACAGTGTTCACAGAATAACTATAGTTCAATCTAAAGGCTACAATAACAGACACACAATATCAGACAAACAAAAATGTAACACAAAAAGTTGAGTAAATGAAAAAAATAAATAAATAAATCAACACGTGTTCTGTTTAGTATTCAACCACCAAAGCTCTGCACCTCTGAGAACATCCCCGATAATTCAATGTTTACGTGTGTGTGTGTGTGTGTGTGTGTTTCAAACCCACTGGCAGAGGAAGCCAGGATGTCAGAGTAATTTTAGGATTGTACCAGGCATTACTGAAGGACTTCAAAAGGAAATGTGTTTAAATCATTTATTTGAGTGACTGAGATTTTGTCAGACTAAACAAAATTTTTCTCACTCTTTTTTTTCTTCCTTTTTTTTCCTCAGGCGCATACGTACGTACACACACACACACACACACACACACACACACACACACACAC